GCTGGGCCCAGCCAGCAATGCCCACATCCCATGAATAAACAATTATAAATGTGACACTCTCTAGCCATGAATCTAGCTCAGACTAGTGTGAGTAAGATGGCGGAACTACTTTCCCATGTTTTACGCTCAGATTACTGGCAGCGTAGAGCAGACAAAGATCACCAAGCGAACCGGCACCAGGGGACAGAGCAAACCAGACACGGAGCACAGACTGATCACAGCGAGCATGAACATTCACTACCGCACCGAACCATGATGACAGCAAAACAGGAGGCGGCCACAACTGGCACCCAAGAACTTTGTAAAAAATCCCACAATTCGGAATTTGGTGATATATCACAGCCCAGCCAGGGACACCCTCACCCTCCAATCGAGTCAAACGAAGGAGAAGCAAGTACAAAATAAAACTGTCCCGACTTCAGCGCCAAGCAGTGGGGAGGAACAAGACAGACCCAGAAGTGGAGCAAGGTCAGCACTGACAGGAGCAATTCATTGTTGCAAAGACACCTCTAACTCCCAGATAAGTGGGGAAAGGCGACAGCTGGATGGACAGGATTCACACAACCTTAACTGTGAGGATTTCTTATCAATGTGTCCCATTAAGGAGAGGATCTGTGGATTTTTGAGTGGAAAAGATTTTTTTGGAATTTTCCCTGTCGTGACTTGTAAAAAATTAATTTGGCAGTTTTCCCACTTCCCTGCAATCATTTCACTGCATGTAACTCCTTACCGACTCTCCTGGGTTCTCTGGCATTATCTGTAAATAAGAGAGCTGGAAAATGATTAGATTCTCACAATCTGCATCAACCTAATTGTCCTCATTTATCTGCAATTCAACTAAAGGATTATTAATCAGCTTTTGTGCGACTCCTTTTCGCATCATGATTTTTTTTTCTTTGGGAATATATCTTCTCTGCTTTTAATGTTATTCAGAGGCAGTGGAATGGGTCAGGGTTTTTATTTGTGAGAGATGGAAATATGAAACAACTTGTGTATCCCTTGCTTTGCTGGGCAGATGGTGGTGATGTGGCACCTCCTGTAGTTCCTGGTGTAATTTCAACATTGTCAGAGGAAATAAACAATACTGAGCTTGGGGAGATGGCGATAGGAAATGGGGTGGTCAGAGCAACTGGCTCCAGACCCAGCCTGAGAGGAGAATTGCTCATCAACATTGGACCCATATCTGATCCACAACCTGCCTGAAGTTCACAGTCAGAAAGAAACAGGTGCATTCATATAGCAGCCTTCAGGATGTCCCTGAGCCCTCTACAGAAAGCTAACCATTTTTAAAGTGTAGATATTTCCCTAAACTATCAGTTCAGTCACATTATGAAACATTGCAGGTGGGACTTGAACCTGTGAGTTCTAGCTGAGAGGTAGGGACAATACCACTGCATCACAAGAACACTCTGTTTTTACTCAAACGGCCTGCTCAGAGATATTATAACACACATCTGGAGCAGGTGGGACTTGAACCTGGGCTTAGATGTAGGGACAATGCCACTTTGCCACAAGGGCCCTACTCCCGAACAGTGTACACTCACTGCTTTGTGGGCAATGCACGAACCGATTAGTGCACAGCAAGCTCCCACAATTCAATAGCCTGGTTTTATCGGCAGTGGCTGGGGCATTAATAAGGGGCCCAGGACACCAGGGAGAAAGGCCTTTTATTGATCAGACGTGCTACATCCTCCAACATCGCAACGACATCGCTGATGAAGCTTCGCACTGCTTGGCTGTTGTGACTCCTGCATTTGTGCAGCGCCGACTCTATTAAAGTGCTGAACTGGCTGTTCTCTACTTGCAGTGATGATGGACGTCGCGTAATGGAACAGACACAGAGGTCCCTCGCTCAGGGTTGAGTTCCAGGTCATGAGCTATTCAGCAGACCTGTGTTATAGGTGAGGTTTATAACACTTGTGGATATGCAGATAGTAATATTCACTAACTGCATTTCCCCCCCACCCTTGTACCCACATCCTGCCCCTTGAAAACACGAGCAGCAGGTTATTAGCCCAGATCGGCCCAGTTACCACCGTCATGATAAAATTACTGACCGGAGCCCATGTGATTGTAGCTCCTTGCTCATCTTCAGCTGCTGAAGATCGTCAATGTCACGGAAGAGGAAGAAAACGTCCTTACATTCGGGATGGGTTTCAAACAGCCTGCAAAACAGAAACAGCTTTCACAGCCCGATCGCCCACCCTCCTTGGCATTGCTCAGTGTGGGTGGATGGGCAGGGGATATATCCAAACACTGAGGGTACAATGTTTGTTTGTGCCTCGGTCTGTACCCTTTGTTTACCAGAAACAGAGAGATGTGAAAGGCAGCTCCAGGGATGCTGCATCTCTCTCGTCTGCAAATGCCTGAACAGTCCATCAAGATCTGAAAGAAACACCTATGTACATAGGAAATAGCAGTGGGAGTAGGCCGACAAGCTTCTCTAATCTGCTCCACCACCATGGCTGATCTGATTAGAAACCCAAACCCACATTCTTGCCTACCCCCTGATAACTTTTCACTCCCCTGGCTTAACAAGAATCAGACATCATGCGACACCAGGTTATAGCCCAACAGGTTTATCTGAAATCACAAACTTTCTGGACGCTGCTCCTTTGTCAGGTGAAGTGATCCCAAAGTTTCTTCTGTCACATATGTTCAGATGAAGCCCATCCTCTTCCTCAACTGAGGATTCCCCAGCTCCGTTGTTGACAGGGCCCTCAACCAGGTCCGACCCATCTCCCGCACTTCCGCCCTCACCCCTTCTCTTCCCTCCTGCAACAGCGATAGGGTTTCCCTTGTCCTCACCTACCATCCCACCAGCATCCACATCCAGAAGATCATGAGACGCCATTTCCGCCACCTCCAGCAAGATGCCACCACCAGATACATATTCCCCTCCCCTCCCTTGTCGGCCTTCCGCAGGAACCATTCCCTCTGGGACACCATGGTCCACACTTCCTTCACCCCCAGCACCTCCCCACAGCCCTACGGCACCTTCCCCTGTAACCGGCAAAGGTGCAACACCTGCCCATTTACCTCCTCCCTCCCCAGTATCCAAGGGCCCAAACATACCTTCCAGGTGAAGCAACACTTCACCCGCACTTCCCAGAATCTAGTTACTGTATTCGCTGCTCACAATGTGGTCTCCTCTACATTGGGGAAACGAAGCATAGACTTGGTGACCGCTTCACAGAACATCTATGTTCTGCTCGCAAAAAAGACCCTGAACTACCTGTTGCCTGCCACTTCAACGCACCACCCTGCTCCCTGGCCAACATCTCTGTCTCTGGCTTGCTACAGTGTTCCAGCGAAGCCCAACGCAAGCTGGAAGAACAACACCTCATTTTCCGCTTGGGGACCCTACAGCCCTCCAGACTCAATACTGAGTTCAATAATTTTAGGGCCTAAACTGTCTCCATGGCCCAGCCCCCCACCCCACACACCAGGCCTTGTTACCACATAGCCTGCCACTACACACCCCCTGTTGTTAGTCACTAACAGTCCCCATTAACAGCTATTCACCCTCCCAGCCTGATTGTTAGCAACTCCTTTGTCTGTCCAACTGCTCTTCTCTCTCTTTGGGCTCTATCCCCACCTATCGTTCACTCCCCCCCCACCCAACCCCCATCCTATCTTCTGCATACAAACCAACATTTTCCTACTACCGTCAGTTCTTAGGAAGGGTCACCGGACCCAAAACGTTAACTCTGTTTTCTCCCCACAGATGCTGCCAGACCTGCTGAGCTTTTCCAGCAACTTCTGTTTTTGTTCCTGATTTACAGCATCTGCAGTTCTTTCAGATTTTACTTCGTTACCTCTAGACCGGACTATTCTGACTTCCTGGGGGAGGGGGATATTTGGATGGTGGAGGAGAATACGCTTTAAAAGCTAGCTGCTTGTTGCTGAGTGCATGTTGCCTGAGTCCCATACCAGGAAGAGCCAACAGAACCATGCTTTGGGCAAATCTGTTCGTACTTGCAGATGTAATGCACTCATTCCTCCAGAGAACAAGTACAGCTGCCTCTCATTTATCAAAAATGTTAATTCCTTTCTTTCCTTTGACAACTTTCAGCAACCCAGAGGAAGTACAATGTCAAACCTTGGGTTTGCTCAAAGCTGCATAACTGGAACAACGTTCTGCAGTTTGTACTGCATGGAAAATAGCCCACAGTATCTTTGTTACAGTTACTTGTCCTCACATGTTGTAATGTTTTTCTTTAAAGCCACCAGCTTTAACTGTTTAACTCTCAGCCTCTCAGTTTTAATTGCAAGCTGTTGATCATCACACACTGGACTTGTCCACTTGCCCTGGATTACTGGGCAGAAGTGCATTTGACATTGTTGTCCTCCATGGTTTTTCTTTTGTCTCTGCAGTACGTGGGAGTGCAGTTCATTGCAGTGGTGAGACCAATCTTAAAAGAGAAATGGACAACTGATGTGGAAGAAGCATGGAAAGTGAGTAACTCAGCGCCAACTCCTTTCCATTCTGCTCATTCTCAACCACACAGCAGCCATGATTCAGTCTGTCATTTTGTGGAATCCCTACAGAATGGAAACAGGCCACTCAGCCCAACAAGTCAACACCAAACCTACAAAGGGCATCCCACCTAGACTCAGCCCTTACCCTATCCCTATAATGCTGCATTTCCAATGGAAAACCTACCCAGCCTGCACTATCCCTGCAAACTGTGGGCAATTTAGCATGGCCAGTCCACTTAACCTGCACATCCCTGGACACTATGGGACAATTTAGCATGGCCAATCCACCCTAACCCACACATCCCTGGACACTACGGGGCAATTTAGCACGGCCAATCCACCCTAACCCACACATCCCTGGGCACTACGGGACAATTTAGCATGGCCAATCCACCCTAACCTGCACATCCCTGGGCACTACGGGACAATTTAGCATGCCCAATCCACCCTAACCTGCACACCTTTGGACTGTGGGAGGAAACCGGAGCACCCAGAGGAAACCCACGCAGACACGGGGAGAATGTGCAAACTCCACACAGACAGTTGCCTGAGGGTGGACTCAAACCCGGGTCCCTGGCGCTGTGAGGCAGCATTACTAACCTCTGAGTCACTGCCCTGGCTCATCATCTTTATCCAGGCACTTGTCCAATGCTTTAAGATGTCAGTGAGGAAGTGAGAAGAAGGAAGCCGTTGGGAAAGCCGTTGAGGATTTCTGCACGGCAGGATTACTAAATCTTAACAGACAAAGTCTACGTTGGAGCAAATTACTGGAGATGATGGAATTTGAACAGAAACCAAACAACGCAGGAGATCACAGTGGACCAGGAAGCTTCCATTGGAGAGAAACAGCGGGCTAATGTTTAGAGTCGAGATGAACCTTCGTCAGAGTCATCTAAAGTCTAAACATTAGCGTACTGTCTCTCTCTCCGGGGATGTCAGACTGTTATGCCTTTGCCAGGCCCAAGATTGATCCCACTTTTGCCTCACTGAGACTCACTGTCCTCTTTTTCAAATGTTTATCCAATTCCCTTTTGTTTGGCACGATTAACTCTGTTCCTGTCATCATCCGAGGCAGCATATTCCAAATTGCAACTTCTCCCTGCTCAAGAAAATCCTCTGCACGTGTCTTCAAGTCAATGAAGCACTTTTGAAGTGGAATTAATTTTGCAAGGTGGAAGACGTCACAACCAGTTCGCACTCAGCCGTCTCCCATGTCCCGCAATGTAATTATTATTGGAGCACCTTTTTATTAGAGAGATTGATTCAGGGATAAATATCCTTACGGTTTCTCTGTTCCAATCTCGGAGTGGAATTGCAAATTAAACACAAGTGCTAGGGGTGTAATAGATCAATGGTGTATTCTCCATCGCCTCACCCTTCCCTATCTCCCACAGCCTCACAACCTTCCAGGGGACGGAGTGGGAGGCATGGGGAAGGGGAGGGGTTAAAGGAGAGAGGGAATGGGGAAGGGGAGGGGATAAAGGAGAGACAGGGGAATGGGGAAGGGGAGGAGATAAAGGAGAGAGGGAATGGGGAAGGGGAGAGGATAAAGGAGAGAGAGGGGAATGGGGAAGGGGAGGGGATAAAGGAGAGAGGGGAAT